TTTTTCGTCGCGCTGTGATGACATCACATGCGCGCTTTCGTCGAGCGCAATTTTGTCCTCCGCGCTTTTGACGGGTCACGATGCCACCCACATGGATGGCATGGGTATTTTGGGGTGGAAATTTAGAATTTGTTTAATATTGTTCAGCCTCTTTGTAGACATTATGCTACTGTGTGGTTTTACATTTACATCAGACACACCATGACCCAACAAATGCGCGCCTAACAAATGCGCGCCCACAAAACCGTGCCAGTCATCAACAAACAACATAACACAACATGAAAACAACGTTATAAAGGGTTAGGGTTAAGGTTAGGGTTATAACAATGTTTTTGCGTCCCATTATGTTGTTTGTTGATGGCGGGCGCGGTTTCGTTGGCGCGGTTTCATCGGCGCGCATTTGTCGGGTGCGCATTTGTCGGTGAACCCAGACACACGGAGCCTGGGAGAAGAGGACTTCAAAGCAGGGGTGAAATGCTACCAGTTCGGACCTATTCATCAAACCAGTAGTAAAAAAAAATGCTACTGGTTCAGGCGAACCGGTTTTTCCGACGATCAGCTGTGACGGGTGATTTATATTTGCTAGAAAGTAGGATTTCCTGTTTTCTAGCTAATCTAAATCACATGGCACAGCGGGTTCTCCCCCCTCGCCGTTTGCTTACCTTTGCAGGCTCACTCAGTAGCAGGCTCCGCCCACCTGCTCAGACATCATCACATCCATTTTTGACCCTCTGAGCATGCGCGAAAGGTCCTGCGGATGTGCAGAGGCGCTCACATTGCTACCGAACCAGTAACAAAGGTATGTGGATTTCACCCCTGCTGCAAAGCTTCTATTTCCTCTTCACACTTAAGGTTTTTAATGAACAACTTAAGAAATTGAGGTATAGAATATGCTTGATGAGCCCTTTAAAATCAATCTGTACCAATGTGGCAAATTCTAGATCTGTGGCAAGAGTGGCAGAATTATATGCAAAAAGTAATGATGCCAGAAGTAAAAAAAGGACAGGACTTTGTGTAGGAATGAAGGCAAATGGAATGAAAGGAAAAATGAGAAATTCCCCCCTCCAAAAAAAAAAACTTTTTGTAACTTTTTACCCTAATATAAACAGTTGTATATATCTACTAATTCTCTAGTACTTATAAATTAAACTATAGCCCAACAAGAGTAATAACATGGCGCTTATAAAAGAGATCTGAGAATCTGTTAATATATAATCTCTGCATCATTTACTTCTTTAATTCACATTAGACTAAAAAAGATTCCTCACCTCAAAAAGTGGGAGATCGTGGGATAAGAACTTAGGCAAATTGACATCTATAATGGATCTAAGCAGCAAAATATCTTCATTTTCATCTGGATATTTCAGCTGCATAAAACAAGGCATTAGTTTCAGAGTAATCGCTTTATCTTAATTCAGACTACCACCATTTTCAATCACATGCCTCTGTTTTTCACATCGGAATTGTTACCTTTGGATTTGTTTTACACTGATCAAGGACAAGATAGAGGTAACAGCAATTTTTAAGACATCTTATCTTCATATCTCATCAGATGCTATTAGGTTGTTAGATGAGATTTGTATTTAAGCTTCCAGTGACAGCATATTATTAATATGACTTGTGGCTTGAAACTCTGCATGAATTTCTGATTGTTTAGCATTCAAAGGTATGATTACATTGGGTCAAAAAAAATAAGCTAACCCAACATACTGCCAGACAAGACCAGAGCACTGGACGTGCATTCTGTAAAGGTTGTCAGACTGATCACATATCTAGCCAAAGTTCTTCCATTAGTCATAATGGATTGATCATGTGCGATGTTTTTCTTCCCACACAACTGACATTTAACTGAAGTTTTAAGCAAATAGAGGACACACATAGTTACCATGGCAGTAAACCCCAATATGTCCTAGTCTTGGGGATAGTGATGCTCAGTGTATTATGATTGCATTTTCATATAAAAGAAACATGGGATCAAAGTAATCAAGCATCTTAATGTTATTATATTGGAACACAAAATGTTCTAAGACCATTTTGTTCATTTCTGTGAAATGAGGTACAGTATACTGAAAATAGATGTATTAAAGTTGATGGCCAGAAAAAGTTTTCATGATATTTCTAGATATAATAGGCTGGATCTAGCTCACTTGGATGTTTTCAGCGTGAAAGAAAACAACACATTGTGGTGGTCCTTTATGGCACACAATCAACAGTTTGTTATGACACATGAACATTTAGTCATTGTCATATTTAGGAAAACTTTCCATAAAAATAGTTACGATAGATTCTAGGTTTTATTATTATTGTTGTTGTTGTTATTCTAATTTGTTTGCTTTAAAAAAAACACCTTTTAAACTGAACATGATTCATGTGCTAAAATTCATGAGCAAAAGAAAGCAAGTGAAAGAGGAACAGTTGGCCTAGAAGTACATTCCAAACTTTTGGAAACTGGCCGCTGTTTAATGAACTTTTTATAATTTTTGAATTCTTAAAATATATAATTCAATGTCTTTTTACAATGCCAATTGTGTATACTCAAATATAAAGTGTTTGCTTTCTTTGACCTGCAGGATAAGTCCTGAAAGAAACTATTTTTCTCAAAAGAGAAACAAAGATTTATTTCTAACAAAATACCGAAAGGTAGAATTCTAAGGAGACCACAGAGAAAGGGCATCAAATGCTACCTTCAGATTACCAGCTGCCGTGAGCACTGATTTTACTGCTCTCATCCCATAATCGTAGTGGTGCTGTGAAGACAACTGCTCTGAACACAAGCGATAGGTAGCCACAATTTTCACAGAGAGTGGCCGTGCCGTCACAAATCCACAGGAATACAGGACAATTTCAGCAATCATGGCATAATCAGGTACCATCATAGCAACAGTCCGAAACAAGGCCTATTAAACACACATTAATAGACAGGTAACTGCACAGTCTGAATAGCGATGTTTATAGCCTGTTAATAGCTTCTCAAACAGTGAACTGAAACTAAATTTCATTATCAAGATGACAAATGGCTCCCTGGAGAAGGAAAAGCAGTGAGTAACACACAATGATATATATATGCATACATTTTCACAGGGAGCAAGTTTTCTCCCACATCCCTGCTTTGTATTCTAACAATGCGTACAAAAAAAAAGGGATAAAAGACAGGACTCTGCATGTTACAAAACTGATTTTGGAGAACTGTTTCACATTTCATGCAAGTGTAAGCAAGGTACCTCTTTGTTACTCTAGCCACACAAACCTGAAAAAAAAATGTGTAGCTGCTTTTAGAGCCGCATAACAGATCATAACAAAATCAACCCACATTTCTCCATATGGGGTACAAATGTCCAGGCTCAAATTATCCCACTTTGGACACATTACTTACATTACAAATTATCCCACTTTGGACACACATGCGCTCTACTTGGAGCTGCCCCTGAAAAGTGTTCGGAGACTACAATTGGTTCAGAATGCAGCCGCGCGAACGACATCGGGTGTATCTAGATACACCCATGTCACACCTATCCTCTGTGAGCTGCACTGGCTCCCTATTGGTCTCCGAAC